AACTAGAAGAAGAAAAGAAGAAGAGAAAAGAAGAAGAAAAGAAAAAAGTGAGAACTAGAAGAAGAAGAAGAAGAAAAGTGAAAACTAGAAGAAGAAGAAGAAGAAGAAGAAGAAAAAGAAAAGTGAGAACTAGAAGAAGAAAAGAAAAAGTGAGAACTAGAAGAAGAAGAAGGAGAAGAAGAAAAGTGAGAACTAGAAGAAGAAAAGAAGAATAGAAAAGAAGAAGAAAAGAAAAAAGTGAGAACTAGAAGAAGAAGAAGAAGAAGAAGAAGAAGAAAAGGGAGAACTAGAAGAAGAAGAAGAAGAAGAAGAAAAGTGAGAACTAGAAGAAGAAAAGAAGAAGAGAAAAGAAGAAGAAAAGAAAAAGTGAGAACTAGAAGAAGAAGAAGAAAAGTGAGAACTAGAAGAAGAAGAAGAAGAAGAAAAGTGAGAACTAGAAGAAGAAAAGAAAAGGAGAACTAGAAGAAGAAGAAGAAGAAGAATAAGAAAAGGAGAACTAGAAGAAGAAAAGAAGAAGAGAAAAGAAGAAAAGAAAAAGAAAAGTGAGAACTAGAAGAAGAAGAAGAAGAAGAAGAAAAGAAGAAGAGAACTAGAAGAAGAAAAAAAGAAGAAGAAAAAAAGAAAAAAGAAAAAAAGGAGAACTAGAAGAAGAAGAAGAAGAAGAAGAAAAGTGAGAACTAGAAGAAGAAAAGAAGAAGAGAAAAGAAGAAGAAAATAAAAAGTGAGAACTAGAAGAAGAAGAAGAAGAAGAAGAAGAAAAGTGAGAACTAGAAGAAGAAAAGAGGAAGAGAAAAGAAGAAAAGAAAAAGTGAGAACTAGAAGAAGAAGAAGAAGAAAAGTGAGAAGAAGAAAAGAAGAAGAGAAAAAGAAGAAGAAAAGTGAGAACTAGAAGAAGAAAAGAAGAAGAGAAAAGAAGAAGAAAAGAAAAAGTGAGAACTAGAAGAAGAAGAAGAAGAAGAAAAGGGAGAACTAGAAGAAGAACAAGAAGAAGAAGAAAAGTGAGAACTAGAAGAAGAAGAAGAAGAAGAAAAGTGAGAACTAGAAGAAGAAAAGAAAAAGTGAGAACTAGAAGAAGAAGAAGAAAAGAAGAAAAGTGAGAACTAGAAGAAGAAAAGAAGAAGAGAAAAGAAGAAGAAAAGAAAAAAGTGAGAACTAGAAGAAGAAGAAGAAGAAGAAAAGTGAGAACTCGAAGAAGAAGAAGAAAAAAAAGTAATTTTAAAAATGAATATGAAAATAGAAGAAATCTTGAAGAAAATGCATCAACGAAAAAAGAAGAAGTCAGATTTTGAAGAAGAAGAAGAAGAAGAAGAAGAAGAAGGAAAAGGCAGCAAAATTGAAAAAAGAAGAAAAAGGCGAAGATGCAGAATATGAAGATGATGATGATGTTGATGATGATAATTTAAGCAAAAAAAAAAAAAAAAAACGAAGAAGAAAGAGGAAAAGGAAATGGTTAGAAGCAAACGAGGTAGGAAAAGTACAAAACAAAAAAGATTGGAAATGTCAAGAAACACAAATCACTCGATGCAGCTCTAAAGTAAAATATAACGAAGAAGAATCAATGAGAAATGAGGTAAGTTATTAAAAGACAAAGGTGATAAAGATCGTACAAGTGAAAGAGGAAAAAAGGGATGAAAGAAAAAAAGAAAAAGATAGAAACAAAAAACCTGAGATAAAAATAAAACAGTAAAAGAAAGAAAAAGAAATCAGGACAAAAAAGAAACGAAACCAAAAAGAAACACATAAAAGAAATAAAGAAAAAGAAAGAAGCAAGAAAAGTAGAGATAAAATAACGGTAAAAGAGAGAAAAGAACCAGGACAAAAAAAGAAACGAAACCAAAAAGAAACACATAAAAGAAATAAAGAAAAAGCAATAAGCAAAAAACTGGAGATAAAATAACAGTAAAAGAAAGACAATGAACAAGGAAAAAAAAAGAAAAACGAAACTAAAAAGAAACAGAAAAAAAAATAAGAAAAAGAAAGAAGCAAACAAACTGTAGATAAAATAACGGTAAAAGAAAGAAAAGGAACCAGGACAAAAAAGAAACGAAACCAAAAAGAAACAAAGAAAAAGAAAGAGGGAAAAAAACTGAGATAAAATAACGCTAAAAGAAAGAAAAGAACCAGTGCATAAAAGAAACGAAATCTAAAAGAAACACATAAAAGAAAGAAAGAAATAGAAAGATGCAAACAAACTGTCGATAAAATAACGGTAAAAGAAAGAAAAGGAACCAGGACAAAAATGAAACGGAACCAAAAAGAAAGACATTAAAGAAAGAAAGAAAAAGAAAGAAGAAAGAAAAACTGGAGATAAAATAACGATAAAAGAAAGAAAAAAAAACAGGAAAAAAAGAAACGAAACAAAAAAGAAACACATAAAAGAAACAAAGAAAAAGAAACAAAACTGGTGATAAAATAACGGTAAAAGAAAAAAAAGAAATCAGATTCAAAAAGATATGAAACCAAAAAGTAACACATAAAAGGAACAAAGAAAAAGAAAGAAGCAATAAAAGTGTAGATAAATTAACGATAAAAGAAAGAGAAAAAAAAACAGGAAAATAAAGAAACGAAACCAAAATAAACACATAAAGGAAAAAAAGAAAAAGACAGAATTATAAAACTGAAGTTAAAATAACGGTAAAAGAGGGAAAAGAACCAGGACAAAAAAGAAACGAAACAAAAAGAAGCACATAAAAGAAAGAAAGAAAAAGAAAGAAGCAAAAACTGGAGATAAAATAACGGTAAAAGAGAGAAAAGAATCAGGAATAAAAAAAGAAACGAAGCCAAAAAGAAACACATCAAAGAAAAAGAAAATAAAGAAAAATGTGAAACAATAAAAACACAGAAAACAGACAAAAGTAAAAAATAACCAAAAAATAAAAAATCATGTAAAAAAAATTCAAAGAAAAAAAGAAAAGAAAAATGAACGAGAAAAGGCAAACAATAAAACAAGAGAAAAGAAAGAGATGAAAAGAAAGGAAGGAAGGAAGAAAAAAGAAACATGTTCAAGAAAATGATGAAAGGAAAAGAATGAAATGAAAGAGAAAAGAGAAGCAATAAAACTAAAGAAAAGAAAGTGATAAAAATAAACAAGAAAAAATAATACTAAAGTAATAAATCACAAGAAAAAGAAAAGAAACAAAAAAGGAAAATATAAGTTAAAAAGGCAAATAACTAAGAGGGAAACAAAAAAGAAATAAACTTGATGAGGAAAGGAATCAAGAAAAAGCAAGAAAAACAAGAAAAGGATAGAAAAATGAAGAAAAAAAATTAGATTAATAAAAGAAAGAAAAAAAAAGGCCACAATGACAAGAAAGAAATAAAATAAGAAAAAGTTAAGAAAAGACAGAATAATAAATCAAGAAACATAAGAAAATGAAAATGAAAAGTGAAAGAGAAAAAAGAAGATAATAAAGAAAGAAAAAAGAAGCAAGAAAAGAAAGTATAGGAGGAAGAAAAAGAAAAAAGAAAAAGGAATAAAACAAACAAGAGGCAGGAAAATAGAAACAAAAATAAAGAAAGGACACTAGAAAAAGAAACAAAAGAAAAATAAAGCAACAAAGAAGAAGAGGGAAGAAAATAATTAAGAAAAAGCGAAAAAAACAATTAAAAGGAAAAAGGAAACACTAAAACGGAAGTATACAAAGAAGGAAGTAAAAGCGAAAAAGAAAACAATTAAAAGGAAAAAGGAAACACTAAAACGGAAGTATACAAAGAAAGAAGAAAAAGTGTAAAAAGAAAACAATTAAAAGGAAAAAAGGAAACACTAAAACGAAGTATACAAAGAAAGGAGAAAAAAGTGAAAAAAAGAAAATAATTAAAAGGAAACACTAAAACGGAAGTATACAAAGAAAGAAGAAAAAGTGAAAAAAGAAAACAATTAAAAGGAAAAAGGAAACACTAAAACGGAAGTATACAAAGAAGGAAGTAAAAGCGAAAAAGAAAACAATTAAAAGGAAAAAGGAAACACTAAAACGGAAGTATACAAAGAAAGGAGAAAAAGTGAAAAAAGAAAATAATTAAAAGGAAACACTAAAACGGAAGTATACAAAGAAAGAAGAAAAAGTGAAAAAAGAAAACAATTAAAAGGAAAAAGGAAACACTAAAACGGAAGTATACAAAGGAGGAAGTAAAAGCGAAAAAGAAAACAATTAAAAGGAAAAAGGAAACACTAAAACGGAAGTATACAAAGAAGGAAGAAAAAGCGAAAAAAGAAAACAATTAAAAGGAAACACTAAAACAGAAGTATACAAAGAAAGAAGAAAAAGAAAAGAAACATGTTAAAGAAAGAAAATAGACAAAAAAAGAAAAGAAACATAAAAACGTTCAAAAGACAGGAAAGAAATAGGATAAAATGAGAGGAGACCTAAGAAACACAAGGACTGTTCTCCGTCGTCTTTTGAAGGCTTGCTTTGTTATTTCACTTTTTCGTAAGGTCTATATGAGTGAAGATCTGTTCGCATTATTTTAAATGGCGTAAGGTGAACAATGAATTACTATTTGATCTATATCGGGGACATCTATAGGGAGACCTCCGAAATATCTTACTTCTATTTCTGCTTGCCTGGCTGTCGATGGCCGAAGTTTGATGTCGAAATCTGGAAATATTACAGTATGCTATAGATCAAATAGTAATTCATAATTCACCTTACGCCATCTTAAATAATGCGAACAGATATTCACGAAAAAGTGAAATGGCGAAGCATGCCTTCAAAAGGCGACCGACGAACAGAAAGTCCTTGTGTTCCTTTGGGCTTCTCTCACTTTTGTAAAGCTTCATTCCTACTTTCCTACATGAAGCTTTACAAAAGTGTGTTTCTTTGTTTGTTTAACGGTATATCAACACTTTATGGGTCATTTAATTCCGAAATTTAATTTACTTTCGAATTTGAATATTTTTTCTTTTTTACAAAAATAATTGCTGGAATTTTTTTAATATGAAAATATATTTTTATACTTTCAGTTTTTTGACCCCAGTTTGGGGGTTTCCTTATCTGCCCCTAGCTGAGACCCTAACACGTGCAACCACCCCAGATCAGGATGGACCTGGGAATAACAAAAATTAAGAGATGCACTATTTACATTATTCGGACTATTGTCCTCATCTTTGTTTCCATATTTATTACAACGTTTCGGCCCTTCCGTATCTGTCTATATTTCTGAGATGAGGTATTATGTACACTATTTACATTATTCGGACTACTGTCCTCATCTTTGTTGCCATATTTATTACAACGTTTCGGCCTTTCAGAATCTGTCTATATTTCTGAGATGAGGTATTATGTACACTATTTACATTATTAAGACTATTGTCCTCATCTTTGTTTCCATATTTATTACAACGTTTCGGCCCTTCAGTATCTGTCTATATTTCTGAGATGAGGTGTTATGCACACTATTTACATTATTCGGACTATTGTCCCCATCTTTGTTGCCATATTTATTACAAGGTTTCGACCTTTCAGTATCTGTCTATATTTCTGAGATGAGGTATTATGTACATTATTTACATTATTAGGACTATTGTCTCCATCTTTGTTGCCATATTTATTACAAGGTTTCGACTTTTCAGTATCTGTCTATATCTCTGAGATGAGGTATTACGTATACTATTTTCATTATTCGAACTATTTTACTCGTCTTTGTTGCAATATTTGTTATAAAGTTTCAGCCTTTCATTATCTGCCTATATTTCTCAGATGAGGTATTATGTATAATTTTTACATTATTCGGACTATTATCCTCATATTTGTTGCCATATTTATCACAACGTTTTGGTCCTTGTACACTCCGGCCTTCTTCAGGTGGTTGCAATGTCGAACTGAGCCATTTGTCTCGCTCACTGGGTAGACTGTTCTAGTTCCACGTGCCATGTCTAATGGATGTCAGTTATCAATTATCTCCTGTTGCTTCCCCTCTCCAAGTTCTCCACCGCCTTAACCAGGTATTGAACTCACACCCTTTGAGTCCTGTCACTGGATCTAACTAACGCCTTTATCCACTGTGCCATCTGTTCTTGAGTTGGTTTCACATTCCTTAAAATCTCCCTATCGGAGGTTTTGTAACTTATCGTCATACCCTAGACAGCTTTACTAAAATCAGATCAGTCCAAAAATGGAGTATTGGTGCAAGCTGCCCAATTTCCACGTTTGTGCGTCCTTGCGGGTGATGAATTATTTTTCACGCTACAATCGTTTTTCCAACAAACGAAAGCTTGCTAGCTCCTCAATATTTAATCACTTTTTCCTTGCAAATGTTCATACGAGTTAAATTCCTTAGTTTCCCCAGTTCAGACCTTCCCAGCTAGGAACCACGCTATGCCCCGTATACAGGGCGGGAACCATCCTCATTGCCTTCGTATTCCATTGGTAAGGAGGAAGTACCACTCAAACAGCTTCTTCCCTATAACGGTTACATTGCGGAACAGACACCTGAAAGGATGTTTCTCTGACTATTATAATCGTAAACTCTTCCAGTTTAAAAAGAAACGTTATCTATCTGTTAGGACCAAGGAAGAACAACCGAAACACAAGAGTAGTAATAACGAAGGTATATTACACGAAATAATAATACAAGATGTGGAAGGTGTTAGTATAACTGTCAGTCTGGTTTGGAGTGAACTACTATCGGCTCGACTAGATTCGTCCCTCTATCTTGAGAGGCGTAGTCTACATAGTGTTAGGAAGAGTTCATTCTGTAGTTATAGGTAAGGACCCATGACACCCCCCTCCCAAGCTTTTACCTCGCAGGGTCTTTTGTATTTTTCCTTTTCGTGTTAATCATCAAAGGCTCTGTAAATTTTCTTTTTCTGCTTGATTTCCGCGGTTCTGAAATTGCTTGAGGCCTTTGCATATTGAATATGTCAAATATTGTGTCCATTACTTACGCCTCTTCCTGAGGTAGACCGTTAGAATCCTTTAACAGCCTCTTTCTGATCTGATTTAAGTGCCTTTTATGCGAGAACTTCGGAACCTTAATTATGTAAATCACGTTCCCGATTCGTTTCTCTATTGTACCTGGCTCCCAATAGGATGTGTTATTTTTTAACATTTTTAAAGAAACCTTTCTCCCCTGGGCTAAATTTTCTTTTTGGTACGAACAACGTTGGTGATTGCTTTGTCTGCTTTGTCAAATACTGATCTAATTTTTCCGGCGAACATTACTACCGCCGGCGATAATGCCGATGGCGTAGAACTGTTCGGTATAATTCTATACACTTGCAAGAATTGTTGTAAAGCGTTTTCTGTTGGTACGTCATAAGCTTTTCTTAGTACTCTTTTTAATGTATCTACAAACATCTCCGTTTGCCCGTTCGACTTTGGATGATATGGCGGAGATTTGATGTGTTTCACCTGAAAAGTTTCACGAAATTCTTGAAAATCCGCAGATGTAAATTGTGTCCCATTATCGGTGACTAAACAATCATCCACTCCGAAACGAGCAAACAGCTCGTCAAGGCAATTTATTGTCGTCCAGAAGTAGGTTTTCTACAACGAAATACTCCTGGCCATTTGCTGTAACTGTTTACTACAATTAAGTAGTAGAAACCCTCTAATAGACCTGCAAATCTACATGGATTCTCGACCACGGTCGATCTGTCTTAGGCCATGGCTTATGATTGATCGGAGGTGCCTTGACTGCTAAGGAACAGCCCTTTCATTTGACCATCATATGTATAATATCTTGATCCATGTTTGGCCAGTACACGTAAATTCGAATTTAAGGATTTCATCCTGTTCTTTCCTGGGTGGCCCACGTGAAAATCCTTGAGGATTCGCCTTTGTAGCGTTTTCGGGGTTACTACTCTTTCATTATATAGCAGAACATTATCACATAACGAAAAACTGTCTGCAATATGCTTATCTTTTCCTGCATTTTTTTTTCGTTTCCTTTATAAATTCGTCATTCACTGCTTCGTTTCTCATTTCCGGTAATGTGACGGGAAGGTTTCGAATTGTACTACATAATGATGTTCTAATATTTTCTTCATATCGTAGAGCTGCAATTACGGAATCTTCTAATGGCTCCGTTTTCTTTGGTATTAGTCTCGGAAGACAGTCTGCATGCCCGATTTTGTTTGATGGAAGATACTCCAATTTGAAATTATAATTTCATAAAATCGTCCCCCATCTTAGTAATCTATTAGCAGTGTAGACAGGTAGATCTTTCTTTGATCCAAATATTGTGAGTAACGGCTTGTGGTCCGTCTACAAGGTGAAAAATCTACCGTAACTATATCTGTGGAATCTTGTAATCGCAAAAATAATTCCCAGCGCTTTTTTTTTCAATTTGCGGAAAATTTTGTTCGGCTGGTAGTAATGTCCTTGACGCATGTGCGATGGGTTTTAGTGTCCCATCCGGCATTTTATGAAGTATACATGCCCCAACACCATAGGCACTCGCGTCACCCGCGACTATTATTTCCAATTTTAGATCATAATGCGCTAAAAATAAATCTGCTGTTAGAGTCTTAATGATTTTGTCGAAAGTTTTCTGACATTCATATGACCATTCCCAAACTTTCTCCTTCTTCAAAAGTTCATTTAGGGGTGCGCGTAATGTGTGCATCTTAGGAATAAATTCTTGATAATAATTTACTAAGCCCAAGAAGCTTTGTAACTCGGCTAAATTTTTGGGAGCCGGCATTTTTATTGCCGTGGCTCTTTCTGGGTCTGGTCTTCTTCCTTCTTCGTTAATAATATGGCCCAGGTGTTTTATTTCCTTCATAAAGAAGTCACATTTATTTTCCTTTACCTTAAAACCGTAATTTTGTATCTACCTGAAAACCTCTTGAACGTGTTCCCAGTGTTGTTCAATGTTTTTGCTGTTTATCAGGATGTCATCAAGGTATGCGATCGTGAAATCCAGTTCGCCTAGCATAGTGTCCATTATTTGCTGAAATATCGCCGGCGCGACCTTGATCCCGAATGGTAATCTCCGGAACTGATATAATCCTTTATGTGTGTTTATGCACAACAACCTCGAGCTTTCCTTATCTACTGGTACTTGTAGGTATGCTTCGCTCACGTCTATTTTTGAGAAAAATTTTCCTCCGTTCAACTTTGTGAAAACTTCCTCCGGACTAGGAAGAGGATAGTGATAATCCTTAATCGTTGCATTCAATCCCGTCGAGAAATCAGCGCATACCCGTATCTCACCCGATTTCTTTTTCACGCAAACCGTAGGTGCGGCCCATTGACTATATTCCACCTTTGTCAATATGCCGGTTATCACGAGTCTATCCAACTCTTCGTCTATCTTTTCTAATGATGCGAAAGGTACTTTTCTTTTCTTCTTGAAAATGGGTTGTACATTTTCTTTTAGTTCGATTTTGGCCGTCATTTTTTTTACACCTTCCGAGGTCGGCTGAAAATACGTCGGGGAAACTCTCCTTTAATTTCTCCTTCAATTTCTCTGCCTCGTTCGATAACCTTTCCACTTTTTGGCAGAACGTATTTATCGGCAAATCTCAGAGGTAAAATGTCTGCATCCAGTCAGTTCCAAATAAATTTTCCGTATTTTTTAGAACATGCATCTTTAATTTCTTGGTCATCCCGTTGAATGTCACCTTTGTGATAATCTCCCCCTCAAATTTGATTTTTCTTCCTGTTACCGATCTGGCTATCTGTTCTCAACATGGTCTGTTTGTTTAATTTCTTTCATGTTTGTTAATAATGGTTAAATCTGATCCGGAATCTAATTCTAATCTAATTTTTTTGTTTAACATTTCTACTTGTACGTATTTTCGTATATTTATCCCGTCCGCTTGGTCAGTTCTAGTGACTCTTACTCGGCTTTGGTTTTTCTTTCTTGGTTCTACAGTGCGAACTTTTATGTCCCACTTTATTTCACGACAGAAAAGTCTTATAGCGGTATGGACAATTTTTGTACACATTTAAAGTCCCACAGCGATAGCATGGATTGGTGGTGGTTTCTTCTGAGGTTTCATTTGACTTTTTGTAGTAAAATAATTTGTTTGGTTTGTTTTTGAGGAGGGAGAAAAACGAGTTTGTCGTTGTACTTTTCGTATGTGAGCGATGCCAGTCTCTTCGATATCTTTCGAGTCCTTTTTTACGCTTATACATCTCTGACAGTACTCAGCCAATTTTTGTAGCGTCCGTTTTGGTTCACTCTCCAGTTTTGTTAGAATTCTCCGTCTGATCTCCGCATCTTTAGTCGAAATCAGGCCTTGGACGAATATCAAATTTTTAAAATTGTCAGGGCTGAGTTCAAATAACTTAAAGTCATCACAGTGTTTCTTTACTACGGAAGCGAATGTTATGTAGTCTTCGCTATCCTTTTTTGTTAAATTTAAACATTTCCACCTTTTGTGTAATAGTGAAGTGTTCGAACTAAATAATTCCGTTAAAAGTTTCACGGCTTCCCTGAAAGTCAACTCATTCGTTTTCCTCGGTAGGATGTAGTCTACGAATTTAGTGTATTTGCTTGACCCTAGATTCCTAAGTAGTAGACGTACTTTTTTCGCGTCTGACCAATTCCCGCAATCAAACTCATATGAATCTTCATATCTTCTGACGTAAGCCGCGAAGGTTTTGTCTTCGTCCGGTGCATAAGTGAAGTCTTTGATTGAGCGTCATATAGCATTTTGCGAGAATGCTGCTTCATTTTCAGAATTTTGTCCTTTATTTGTTACTGCCCGTAGTAGTAATTCTTGTAGTTCGAGTTGCTTTTCTTCGTTTTTCTGTTGAATTTCTAATTGTCTTTCTTCGAGTCTAGTCTTTTTTTCTCATTTTTTTTGCTGCTCGAATTGCCTTTTCATTAGTTCCAATATGGTTGCCTTAAAGTCTTCCATGTTTATACCGTAATTTAATAATAACACAGGCTATCTGTTGTCACGAGAAGAGAAGGAAAAAACTCACTTTTCCTCCTTACTTTTTCTTTTCGCAATATGTACTTTGTAGCTAGAGTTGTGTACTTGTGTAACGATTTTTCCTTTTTTTCTCAGTGTAGACTTCAGATCTTTGTCGTCTGTTGTTCTGGAACCTTGGTATGAAATTTTTTTTCTCCGTAGAATTCGATTCTATTTTGGCTGACAGGTAAAATTCGTGTCTTCCTTACCACTGTTATGGTTGGTTTCCAAAAAAAAGATTATCTTTTATCTTCGCGTAGAAATTGTGCCTTTTTTCTATATCTCCGTCGCCTCTGTTATGGACGACCTATAGCAAAAAGGGTTTGTTTATATATATATATATATATATATATATATCCTCCGCGTAGAATTCGTTTCTTCAGTATCCCCGTCGCAACTGTTATGGTCCAGGTTAGGACCAAGGAAGAACAACACGAATACAAGAGTAGAAATAAGGAAGGTATATTACACGAAATAATAATACAAGATGTGGAAGCTGTTAGTATGACTGTCAGTCTTGTCTGAAGTGAACTACTATCGGCTCGACTCGATTTGACTCTCTCTCTTGAGAGGCGTAGTATACATAGTTTTAGGAAGAGTTCATTCTGTAGTTATAGGTAAGAACTCATGACACTATCCTACATATCCGCATAATATACACTTCTTATTTCCTTTCGTTATACATTTACAAACACAGTGATACTCTACCTTGAGATGGCTCTTGTGCCTTGTATTAGCTGAGCAACAGTATAAAAAGCTATTTGGGGATAATCAATGCATTCTACAAACTAGTTTTAAGTCATCATGTTTTTTCAAAATTTAAAAGTCATTTTTGTGAGTCTGCGAACGATCCAACATTCTTTCTCTATAAATAAATTGAGAATTGCTTTATTCTTTTTATGCCATTTCAGTTCAGGAAAGGTATTATATGAACATTCTTTTGATAGTTGTTGAAAGCAGTAAAGCTCAGGGGTACCCTGACCCAACCCCAAATAGTCCATTTCTGATTTCCTCAATGTCAAAATTCGACCGTCCTGGGTAAGACGATAAACTGCATCCGCGTTCTGGGTAAGACGATAATCGACATCCAACACCAAAGCCTTTGATAGGGAGGCTTTGATGAGTATGGAACCAACTCTTAATTCTTGGTGTTCCCAGGTCCACCCTGACCGGGCTGGGAGCACAAGTTAGGGTCCCAGCTATGGGCAAATAGTTAACCCCCAAACTTGGATCAAAGCACTATGAAAGTATAAAAAAATAGGTTTTAATACCAGCAATGCGTTTTTGTAAAAAATTACCAGCAATAAGTTTTTTTTAGAAAAATTATTACCAGCAATAATTTTTTCAAAAAAATATAAACACTAATATATTTTCAAGAAAAAAATGCATTTTTTTAAAAAATATTATCAGCAATACATTTTTAAAGGAAAATATTACCAGCAATAAAAACCTTGTCGGTATTAAATAACCCATTGAGCTTGAGAAAAAAAACACCCCTGAAGAAAAGACAAAAAATACACACACACACAAAAAAAAAGTCAAGGTTTGTCTTCTGATCGGATTTAAGGCAAGGTCTTATTGACAAGGAACGGGAGGGAAAATGGATGAGACAATAAACAAAGGAATGAAAAAAAGAAGACAAGATGTCGCTCAGTATTTAGAGTGTAGGGAGAGCGACCCCTAGTGACAATTAGGAAATTAAGGAGAAGATAACTCCGACAAATTTAAAAAGGATTAGGTGAGTAAATGGTAGTCTGAATAAAAAAAAATGGAAGCATAATGAAAGAAAGAAAGAAACAATAAAGTAAGAAAGAGTAAAAGGGCGAAAGAAAAACGAATTAAATAATGGAGGTCAATTGGAGAAGGTATGAATGAGTAAATAAAAGAAAATAAGAAATGAAAGAAGTAGATGGTAGAATGGAGTGGAATATTTTAAGATTGAAGGAAGAAATGAAAAAAAAAACGAAAAACTAAAAACAAAGCCGGAAGAAATGGAACGAGAGGTGGAATGAAAGACAAAATGGTACAAGGAATGAAAATATGAAAGAGGAAATAAATAGAAGAATTTAAAAAGATATAAAGTTCTGTAAACGTAGAAAAGGAATGAAAAACTAAATTATAAAGAATGAAAGAAGGAATATAAAAAGAAAGACGGAATGAAAGAAAGGATGAAAAACGAAGAAAAAGAAAGTAATGAAAGATTGCATCAAAAGTGGATAGAAATTTAGAACAGAGAATGAAACACAGAATGAAAGCGGGTTTGAAAGAAATATGAATGAAAGAAGGAATGAAAGATGGGTTGAAGGAGTTGTAGAGGGTATGAAAGAAAAAATATAACAAAACGAAATGTATGAAAGAGGAAATGCAAGAATGCAGGAAAGAAAAAGGGAAAAGAAGGAAGGAAAGAATCAAGAAAGAAAGAAAAGGATGAGGAAGAAAAAACAAGAAAATGGAAGAAGGAATGAATGACAGAATGAATGAAGAAACTGAAAAGTATTAAAGAAAGAATAAAAGACTGAATGAATAACGAAATAAAAGAAAAGAGAAGAAGAAAAAAGAAGACAATGAAATAAACAATGAAAGACGTTGTGAAAGAAGGAGTGAAAGAGAGTATAAGATAAAATAAGGAATGAAAGACAGAATGAATTATGAAGTAAAGTAGTAATGTAAGATGTTATAGAATAAAAATTGGACAGGAAGAAAGAATGATGGGGGAATGTCGAATGTCATGTAAGTAAGAAGAAAGAAAGAAAAGAAGGAAGTTTGTGAGAGAAAGAAAAAAAGAAAGAAAGACAGAAAGATGGAGGACTGTCGAAATGTCCGGTAAGTAAGAATGAAGGAAGAAAAGAAGAAAGAAAGAAAGAAAGAAAGAAAGAAAGAAAGAAAGAAAGAAAGAAAGAAAGAAAGAAAGATGAGGAATGTTGAATGTCACGTAGGTAAGAATGAAGAAAGAAAAGAAGGAAGTTTGTGGGAGAAAGAAAAAAAGAAAAAAGAAAGAAAGAAAGACAGAAAGATCGAGGAATATCGAAATGTCAGGTAGCTAAGAATGAAAAAAGAAAAAAAGAAAGAAAGAAAGAAAGAGAGAAAGAAAGAAAAAAGATGGGAGAATGTCGAATGTTAGGTAAGTAAGAATAAAGAAAGAAAAGAAGGAAGTTTGTGGGGAAAAAGAAAGAAAGAAAGACAGAAAGATAGAAGAATGTCGAAATGTCCGGTAGGTAAGAATGAAGAAATAAAAGAAGGAAGTTAAAGAAAGAAAGAAAGAAAGAAAGAAAGAAAGATGGGGAATGTCGAATGTCACGTAGGTAAGAATGATGAAAGAAAAAAGAAATTTAGGAGGAGAAAGAATGAAAGAAAGAAAGAAAAAAGAGAGAGAGAAAGAGAGAAAGATGGGGAATATCGAATGCCAGGTTGGTAAGAATGAATGAATGAATGAAGGAAGGAAGGAAGGAAGGAAGGAAGGAAGGAAAGAGAGGTTGTAGGAAAGGGGAAATAGAAGAATGTAAAAAAGAAAGGGTACAAGACAAAATGGAAGAAGGAGTTGGAGGAGTATAAATAAATAAAAAAAAATAAGAAAATGAAAGCAAGAATGAAGAGAGAATGGTAAAACGAATGAAAGAAAAAATGGCAGAAAAAAAGAATTACGAAATAAAAGATAATGAAATAACATTGAAAAATAGAAGAAAGAATAAAAGAAAGAATGAAAGCGGAAATAGAATAATTCATAAAGAGAAGAAAGCAGAATGAATGAAAGTATGAAAAATAGAATGAAAGAGAAATGGAAAATGTCATGAAAAAGTGAAGGCAAAGATTCCTAAGTGAGAGAATAGAACTTAAAATGAAAGAATAGCATAAACAAAAGAGAGAAAAAAAGAACTAACAGACGATAGAATGAAAGAATGAGAGTGAGAAAAAAAGAGGGAATAAAAAAGGCAGAGAAGGAAAAAAGAAGACTGAATGAAAGGAAGAATGAAATAAAATATAAAAGAATTACAATTGGAATGGCTGACAGAATTTAAGCAAAAAAAAAAAAAAAAATAGGAATGAACGAAGATTTCTTAGACGATACCGAGAAAAGTTCCGTCTAGAAAAAAAAAAGAAAATGCAAAATTTAATCTCACCAATGCTCCCGGCATCTCTCGACGATAATCGGTCAGAATCAATTATTTCAACATTATAATTAAAAAAAAAAAAAAATCTTGGATGGAGACCATTTTTAATTTATTTTTTGCTTTCTTTCTCATAAAACAGCAAATTCATAAGTTAAATATAAAATTAAATAATCACGAAATAAACGTGTGCTGACGAAGCACGATAAGACACACAGATGGAAAAAAAAATTGCACACAAGTAAATAAATAAATACTAAAAATCTTTGACGGACGGAAAGAAATCAACCTAAAAATGTATGTTCTTTACTGAAAGATCTGCACTTCTTAAAAAAATTGTGATTAATGATAAAAAAAGCTAGAAATATCCATCGCTATGTTTTTATTTATTTCATTTTACTTAATTTCGTGTTATTTTTTTTTTTCTTATAAAGAAAAAAAAACTTTTTTATAAAGAATTATCAAAATTCCGCTCTCATCTCGGTACAAAAATTTAAACCCAATATTCAACATGGCCGCCGGTCGCATACATTTTAATTAACGTTTTAATTCTCGCGTTATTCCACGTGACCCTTTCTCATGATACTAAAGAATGTAAAAGACCCTTTGAACTAAAGTTAGTTCATTATAATAGTGCATGTGGTATCAGTCTTTCTTTGATTATTTATATTTATTTGCTAGTTATTTAAATTTTAGTCTGCTGTAGCGCTGAAGATGTGGAAATTAGGTTAGGACTATAGCGAGCCAATCTTTTAAAAAATCAGGATTTGAAGCACGTGTTATTTTCATCCTTAACTTCATATCCTTGCCCATAGTTTATACACCATAACGTGCCAAAAGTTATTTGATAGCTAGTGTAGGTCGTTGATTGGCAGCTATTCGATGTGTCATCGATTCCAGAATCGACCGGAAGACTTCTATAGAGCTGTTTACCTATACTGACTTTCGACAGCTCATCGATAAACTTTTACTAAATTTCACTCAATGCAAGACGCGAGAAGCGTTTAAGCTAGTGGACACATGAATGAGCTGCTCGATAGGAGTTTAAAAGGTGGACGTAGGGAATGAATATAGCTAGGATATGGAGGATAGATAACGATTTATGTTAGACTAGAAGAGCTTAAGATGGTAGTGTTCAGGAAACATCCACTTGAGAGTATATTCTTGAAATTGTGGAGTAGAAGCTTTCTGAGTGAGATGCTCTTCTTACTAAATGTATATGAGAGGAATGATGGTGATTCAAAAGTGTGGATGTAGAAAGGAGGTTCTTGGATGTAAATGAGACTGGAGGACTGAAGAGCGGAGCTCGTCTGAAACATTTGTCATGGAAGTAGCGATAGTTTTGCGACTTTGCGTCTGTAGGGAAAATTGTTGTAGAGTGGAAAATGTCATCTCTAGAAAACAGTGTAGAAGTTTGTTTTGACTTTTTTTTTTTCGTAAACCTCTAACAAAGGTAGAATGTGATGACTGAACAATTGTAACCCAGATATGGCAGCCATATTTTATTTGGCATCTGATCTGATTCTTGTAATGAAAAAGCATATCAGAAGGAGTCAGGTGCTTCGTGGAATGGTTCAAGGAGCCGACTATTTTCCCCCGGCATCGTTAATAATGGATAGTCCAACATATGTGTGTGTGTGTGTGTGTGTGTGTGTGTGTGTGTGTGTGTGTGTGTGTGTGTGTGTGTGTGTGTGTGTGTGTGTGAACAGACCATTCCACTAGTTTCATGATTACTTGATTGGACTCATAAGAGACGGACCTGATAGCCAGAACAGAAATTTATCATACATATTTATAAGTCTACCATTCGTCCCTAATTTGAATATTTCTGACACATCTAGTTTGGCGTTACTGCTACATATTTTTGCATTCCTGAAAAGAAAAAAACAAAAAACAAAAAAAAACAAAGATACTGCAATGTTATTGATCCTGATCTGGCATCTCGGCTTCAGTAACTTTCCTACCTCAGTAAAGTAGCCTCCCTCTGCCTTTTCTATAAATACTTCCATGGCAACTTTTCTGATGAACTTTCCTCTATAGCACTTAGACTTTATGAAATTAAGTGAAGTACTAGATTTGTGGCAAGCACTCATAATTTTATAGTTGAAATGGCAAGATGAAACCGTAAGTTCTATGCCAACAGTTTCTTCTCTCGCACTTCTTGCTTGTGGAAATCTTTTTGGATTTGCTTTCCAATGAACTTTGATCTTCAAAAATGTAAATGTAATGTCAGCTGTAATCTTTTATCGTCTTGTTCACTTATTGTTCTCGCTCCTTAATAATGTTTTTCTTTTTCTTATATTCTTTCACACTTATAAACCCCCTTGCGTCTTAGCGGCTTTATTGTCTTACTTGGAGAGAAATGATAAAAAAAATAAATAAATTTTTGTGAATGTATCTTTTCAGAGCGAAAAGTCACGTTATTTGAAACGTCATAAGACTCGACATGTGTCCGATATAGAGAAAAGTTCATACATTTTAATAAATGTCATCATTCACGGTTTACAAGAGAAAAAAAGTACCCGCTTATTTAATTACAGAACCTAACATGTAATTACAGTTTTCCAGTTCTCTCAAAATTGCCTCGCTGTATAGGTTGAATGTCCGGTGAGAAGACTCATCCTTGCCTTATGCCCCCTAGACTTTATGAATTTAAGTGCAGTACTAGATTGGCAGATAGGTCTCATCATTTTATGCTTGAAATGGCTAGATGCAACCGTAAGTTCTATTCTAACAGTCTCTTCTTTTCTTGCACTTCTCACCTGTGGAACTCTTTTTGGCTTGTTGTTTTCCTTTCAACTATCATCAAAAATCTAAATACAATGTCAATCATCATTTTTTGTCTCCTTCAATCCTGTCTTTTTTATTGTTGCCCTTTTTCTGAATAACATTTTCCCACTCAGAAACCACTTGTGGCTTAGTGGTTTTATTACCTTGCTTGTGGTAACCAAAATACTAATAAAATTAATGTCTAAACTACTAATTAACAGGGCACTTATACTTAGGAAGGTAACCAAATTGGGCTTAACAAATTGTGAATATTTCATAAATACTTTCATGGTAATTGCTCTGAAGAACTTTACTCTATGGTACCACGACTTTATGAATTTAAGTGCATTACTAGATTCGCAGTTAGGTCCCATCAGTTTATGGTTGAAGTGGCTAGATGTAACCGTAAGTTCTATGTTAACAGTTTCTTCTCTCACCTTCTCTATAAATACTTCCATGACAACTGTTCTGATGAACTTTCCTCTATGTCACCTAGACTTTATGAATTAAATCACAGTAGGTGGATAAGTTAGGTGAGAAGACCCATCCTTGCCTTATGCCACTTAGACTTTATGAATTTAAGAGCAGTACTAGATTGGCAGTTAGGTCCCATCAGTATGGTTGAAATGGCTAGATGTAACCGTAAGTTCTATGCTAACAGTTTCTTCTCTCACCTTCTCTATAAATACTTCCATGACAACTGTTCTGATGAACTTTCCTCTATGGCACTTAGACGTTATGAATTAAAGCTCTGTACTAGACTGACGGCAAGGTTTTATGGTCTTTAGATTGAAATGGCTACATATAAGCATATGTTTTATGCTAACACTTTCTTTTCTCACACTTTTCACTTGTAGAACTCTCGATGGCTTCTTGCTTCTCAATCAACTTGATCTTCAAAAATTTAAATGCAATGTCAATCGTTAACTTCTATTCGTAATTCCTGTTTTTTTTTATTGTTCTTTCTTTTTCAGCGTGTCCCGGAATAAATGTAACCCAAAAATGTGAACGGCATTTATTTTCTGGTGAGAAACTATATCAGTCAGTTATGTGCCATGTGTGATACATGCTTAGGTGATAATGTATATTTCGATACATGACTGACGAGGCAGATTTTTTTCCCCGCAGTAGGATGCCATTTCTTTCTGCGGTAGACCAGTTTCCATCCAAGGCTATAGAACCTGGTTTGTCCTGCTGTTTACCCATAGCTGGGTGAGAGGGGGAGAAGAAGTGGGTTCATACCTTTCCCAAAGGTATTAGCACGTAACATAGTGCATTATCTATCTATCTATCTATCTATCTATCTATCTATCTATCTATCTATCTCAGTTATGAGCCATGCATGATACACGCTTAGGCAATCATGTATCTTTCGATACATAACTGACAAGGCAGATTTTTTTCCCGCAGTAGGTTGCCATTTCTTTCTGCGGTAGACCAGTTGTCATCCAAGGCTATAGAACTCGGTCCTGCTATTTATCCATAACCGGGGTGGGAATAGAATTTATACCTTTCCCAAGTATATTTGCACGACTGGAATTTGAACTCGGTTCTCCGATTCCTCCACTATGCCTCCTCTGCATACAAACTATATACAAACCATCTATTTCTAAAAACTAGAGAAGTTAGCAAATCTACTGCTACAAACAACATGTCACTTGCTCTGGCGGTAGATATTTTATCGTCATTTATAGAATATGCTCCAAATGTGTTCCGTTCTGTTGAAGACAGCCTTGGGCGAAGTTGTCAATGACTTTGAGGCACTCTTCGTTTGGTATAGCTCTGATTTCTTGAGTGATTTCTGCCTTTAGATTTGAAATGGTTTAAAGGTTGTTCCTGTAGATTCGATCCTTCAGATACCCACACAGTTAGAAATCTAGGGGGTTGAGGTCGGGGAAATTGAAAGACTACTCAGGTTTGCATTTACAGCTGATGAGTCGGTTGCTAAACATCGGGTTCAGCCACTCCGGAGAGACATTTGCTGTATAAGTGGTGCCCCCGTCTTGCTAGTACCACTGGTGCCCCTCTCTGAACTCAGGTAACACCTCTGCCATGGCTTATGGGAGTACCTGGTGAGATCAAAATCCTGGCACCTTCTACGGAAGGATTTCTTCGGATACCTGCCTACCTAATCTCAGACAGCTGATATGGTTTCAGAAGACTTTAAGGGAGATTTTTTTGCCAACTTTGACTGCTAAAAACTTTTTTTCTCGTCTTGTTGATTTTCCCTGTAGCATCAAATTTGTTGATCCATCGAT